ATGGAGGGTAAAAACCGTTGGGATATTATTATTATTATTATTATAAATGAATGCAGGTTAATTAACTCATTCAAGGAATGTTGAGAATTTTCGCAGTGTTCAAAAATAGTTGATTGTGGTTTCAGGTTCTCTAGACATTTATTTAAGCTTTTAAAGTTTACGACAAACAACAATACGACACTTANCGTGACTCGGCACAAAAATTTAAAATATTGGTTCCGTACGTCATGCGGACTGCGCCCCTCGTGCGAATGGGCGGGAATGGAGGGTAAAAACCGTTGGGATATTATTATTATTATTATTATAAATGAATGCAGGTTAATTAACTCATTCAAGGAATGTTGAGAATTTTCGCAGTGTTCAAAAATAGTTGATTGTGGTTTCAGGTTCTCTAGACATTTATTTAAGCTTTTAAAGTTTACGACAAACAACAATACGACACTTACGACACCGTTGTGAATCCCTCAACTATATTTAACTATATATGGGTATAACTTATATTTACAAAAAATGTAATATAGACCCTTATGATTCTAAGCCCTTCATATATGGTTCTATTATAGGCTACCAGAAACTCGCTAGATGGCGCTGGGATCGAGTTATTTATAAAAGTCGTATTTATGAGCCGATTTCGATCAAATTCAAAACGTGCAATCAGAAACAAAATTGATGCTTCGTTTGTTATTTGCTACCATTGGTGTTTTAAAAATGGAAAATTCAGAAAAATTATTCATTGCATTGCAATGCCCGCTGGAGTTAAGGTATTTAGAGAATCCGTATCTATATATAGTATAATACGCGAAGGGATTTTTTGTTCCTCATAAAAGATCTATACCACCGTTCGCCCGATTTTCAAAAATGAGATACCAAATTAAAACGCTTAGGCTGAGGATGTGCAAACTGGTTTTAGTTTAGTTATTATTTAAGAATCAATGCTATAAAATCCGCACCTTCGAATGAGGCGTCAAACTAAAAGCCTTGCACTGTAGATGTGCAATAAAGTTTTACTTTGTTGAAAAGAGTTGCTACCTTTTCAAAAATATATTCAACCTATAAAAAAATAAATCAATTATTACAAAGTGGGTATCAGACGAAATGGTTTTAAAAAGCTTTATTTCTTAGCTAAACTATAGGATGGTGGCCACCTGTTTAAAAATCATATTAGGTATTGAAACATGTATCACCATGTGGGTGCCAAACGAAAGCGGTTTCAGAAAGTAGTAGTTTGAACATATTTTGAAGAGGGTTGCCGCCTGCTTCAAATGTCGAGTTTAGTTTACTTATACACAAGTTATACGAAATATTAAAATATGGATATCAAAGGTAGGCATGTTAAGAAATCTTTAGTTTGAACGCTAATAATATTTTTGAGGTGTTGAAAGAGGATTGCCACCTGTTAAAAGCTGAATTCAAATTATTTTATAAGTTAAGTGAATTATTAAAATGTGAGTATCAATCGAAGGGCGGTTTGAAACATTTTTATTTCTGAACTGTATATAGCGGGGTTGCCACATGTTTGAAGATTAAAATTCCACTTAATTCATCGGTTCATTCAAATAAGTATCGCAGAGTCCGCCGAAGGTGGGTTGACAATGATTAAGCTTGAAAATACTTTTGAGAGGGCTGCCAACTGTTTGAAAAGTCTAACTCAGTTAACTAATTCAAAACCATATGCAATATAAAAATACCGTAGTCAAACGAAAGAATGTTAAGAACTCTTGAGTTTGAACATTTTGAATTTTTGAAGAGAGTGGCCACGTGTTTAAAAAGTTACATTCAAATTATTCAGTAAGTTGGATGAATTATTAAAAGATGGGTTTAAATCGAAATTTGTTTGAAAGGGATTTATTAGGAAAGGGACCTTTATTTAGGAGGGTTGCCATTTCTTCGAACAATCAAATTCGAATTAGTTCATTAGTTTATTGAAACACATGTGTATAACCATGTCAGACGAAGAGATTTAAGAAGATATTAGTTTGAGCATACTTTTGAAAAGGAATTTAAACACATGAGGGGTAAAATTAGGGACCTTAGCCTGTAGATGTATGATAAAGTTTTATTTTTTTAATTACATAAGAACTTTTTTCATCGGTATAGGGTGATTTGAAATTCGATGAAAATAGAAACATTAGAAATATTTTTAAAGTTTTTAAAATTCGAATTCGGGCGTTTTAACGCCATGCGGATTTACTACTTTTTTATAATTAATTATAATTTAAGCAAATTATCCTTTTATCACTTTAGGTGAAGACCCTTAAAACAAAACCGGTTTATCCAGTTTTTTTTTGCAATTTCAAAATGTAGAACCGTTTTTTTTTTCAAATTATTCTTAAACAGGCCTTTGAAAAAAGTGAATAATCGAACACCCTAGGGACTATCATGTAAATAGCGATGTTTTAAAAATTATATATTTTTTTTTTTCAGCAAATCGGCTCTACCACCTCTGAAAACTCATCTACAAATTTGTGTCAGCATTCCGGTGCATCTTTGGATTGGAAGCAGGCGCGCCCTTTCAATGAATTACCTACAGACAATGCTTTCAAACTGATCTGTAAATTTTTGTCCGGCGGTCGATACTATAATTTAGACTCCAACCAATTGGAGATGGCAATGCGCAAGGAGTTTGGTGATATTTTCGTAGTACCCGCAGTGTTGGGTCGGCCTGCCACCTTGGTAACACACAATCCAAATGATTTTGCATCTGTCTTTCGCAACGAAGGCATATGGCCAATACGCCCATTTTCAACCCTACGCTATCATCGGAGAAAACGGCATGCGGATTTTTACCAGGGTGTCGAAGGCGTTTTAACTACGTTAGTAGTCTTAATTGAGTCTCAATAGCAAAGCTTATGTATCTTTTCTTTTCCGCAGACAAGGTGAACAGTGGAGCTCATTCCGCTCGGCAGTAAATCCACTGCTAATGCAACCAAAAAGTATACTCCTATATCTTAGCAGAATGGCACAAGTAAACCAGGAATTCGTTGACAGGTAAATCATATCCTTTTCACACTGCTTAACAGTAGTAAGTTCAAATATTTGCAGAATACGTCTGATACGCGATCCCAATACCCTGGAAGTGCCAGCAAACTTTGAGGACTATATACAGCGTTGGTTGTTGGAATCTGTATCGCTAGTTGCTCTGGACAAGAACCTTGGATTGCTTCGAGAACATAATGAAAATCACGCAGATGGTATGAAAATGATATCTGCCTTAAATACAATATTCACACTTGGCTATGATTTGGAGTGGAAACCTTCACTGTGGCGACGAATGAGCACACCGAAATTCAAGCGTGTAATGCAGGCTATGGACGATGTACAAAATATATCGTTGAAGTATATAGATAAAGCAATAGAAAAACTGGAAGCCGAAAAGCAGCAAGGTTTCGAGCGGCCAGAGCATGAAAAGAGTGCTTTCGAGAAGTTGCTAAAGATCGATCGGAAAGTAGCGACTGTGATGGCCACGGATTTACTGCTTGGTGGCGTTAATACCGTAAATATAATACTATGTTCA